CATAATAATTATACTATTGTGGGTTGAAAACCCTATGTACTCACCAGGTTTCCCAACCTGACCCACTCAGATTATTTATATCACAGGTGTTGATATGAAGTCACAATACAGTGAGAGATTTAAAGAGATGTAGATCACTAGTGTAAATAAATGTAAGTTCTGTTTATGCTTATGTTTTTGTATTGATGATGACATCCCAAACGTTTTAACATAAATAAGATACGTTTCTTCGAAAATATTTTGATAACGTATTTATCGTATTTTCTGGGAACAAATTCCGCAATATTTTTATGAAAAGAAGTACTCTGATTTTTATTAAGCATAAACAAAATCGGTCTTTTCTGGCCGTGAAAATGGGGATGTCACACTGTATAACTCAACCAAAATATAACCAATTAAGCTATTGTTTGATGCTAAAACGTAGGCAAGACAGAGGAGTGCAATCTGGGGAAAAAATTCTCATCATTCCGATCAAGTATGAAACTTTTTTAATGGTTCAAAGTTTGACAAAATTTTAAAAATATGCAGAATTATTATGAAACAATCATAACAGCCCCTGTTTGGGGCTGTATAACTCAACCAAAACAAAACCAATTAAGTTGTTGTTTCATGCTAAAATGTAGACAAGAGAGAGGAGTGCAATCTGGAAAAAAAATTACATCATTCCGATCAGGTATGAAGCTTTTATGATGGTTCAAAGTTTGACAAAATTTATAAAAAGTGCAAAATTATTATGCAACAATCATAACAGCCCCTGTTTGGGGCTGTATAACTCAACCAAATCATAATTAATTAAGCTGTTGTTTGATGCTAAAACAGAGACAAGACAGAGGAGTGCAATCTGGAAAAAAAAATCGCCTCATTCCGATTAGGTATGAAGCTTTTATGATGGTTTAAATTGGAGAAAAAAATCAAAAAAATCTGAAATTGTAAAAAAAAAAAAATGCTTTTGTTCATTCAACTCAAGCATAAACAATGAACAAATAGCAATTGATCATCATTGAACACTTATCTACAAAATTCAACCACCAAGATCGATTTCAACATAAGAAGATTCAAACATGTAAAAAGAAACAAATCCTAGCAAGATTAACATATTCTTGAATTGGAGTTCAAAATCAAAATTCATAGCAAATTAACATAGAATCGACCAACAAGTAGAATAAGAAAGAAACATGAACTCATACCTTCAACTAGAAGAGGATCGATGATGCCGAAATCGACCAAGAAAAGTGAAGTCGTGACTTGGAAGTTTCGAAAACAGAGAGGAGCAAGGCATATGTAGGGCAAACGAGAATTCTTATGATCACTTACGTGGGCCGATTCCATGATATCCAGTAGCGATCGTTGAAAAAACTCAGAAATTGCATGGACCGGGGATCGAATTGCGGACACGATGAATTCTCTAATTTTTTTTTTATTCTCTACCCACGCACGATATGAGTAGCGATCATATTTCTCCCCTTTTCTTTTTTAAAAATAGAGAATTATTTGGATGGAAAAAGAATTGATTTATTTCCCAATTCCTTATTTTTTTTATTAACCAAACAAGGGCAAAGATAATTAATTCATTTTCTCTACTTTTATTTCCATGTACCAAACACCCCTAAGGGTTTGATGATTATTGTCAGCTGTATTGCAAGGATGGGTAAATAAATACAAAACAAATTTAGTCTTTTGCTTTAAAACTCAATCATCAATTGATTAAATATATGCATAGATTACTCTGTTCGGTCTTTTTGGATGAATTGGTTAAATGTATGCATAAGTATTACAGACCAATTATTTATGGTTGTATAGATATGGAACTCGAAAGATGGTTTGGTGACTTTATTATTTAGAGTGATCTCTGATACATCCGTACATGTGTTTTTTCTTTGGCTTATCCAATCCCATAAAACAAGAATCTTCATTAGGATAAAGAACATGTTGTTAATTTTTATTTCAGGTAATCAAATCTTTATTTAATTATGTATGACAAGTCATCAAAATTTGCATTTCAAATATGTTTCTTGAAATAGGGAAAAAAAAATTAATTTGTATTTTTAGTTTTATTAGATAAAATGAGGGAAATGAAATGATAATAAACAAGTGAGGTGTCAATTGTAAAATTAATTCGAACTTTCCTCTTACTTTCCATGACCATATAAATTAGAGACCTCACCTTAATGGATAATAAAATCCTCTGCCCTAAAATCTATAGTAGTTGACAGGTGCAATAACCCAATCGGCAAACTAATAATGACATCTCCGGCGATATTCTCCGCCGCAACGCCACTCAATTTACCTCCATCCACCGCCAATAATCGGGTAATTCCTCCCCTTTTTTGTGCTTCCGCTTCCGCTTATGATTGCTCTCAAACACGTAGCATCACCAACAACAAAAGATCGAATCTGCGTCTACGGATCAAAGCAGCAGCGTCGGACTCCACGGCGATCGTTGACAATCCAACGGTGGCGTCCACTTCTGAAAAAGAAGAAGGAATTAAGGCGAAGATCGGAGCTAGGGTTAGGGTTAAAGTGCCGTTGAAGGTTTATCATATACCTAAAGTACCGGAGGTAGAGTTGAATGGGAAGGAAGGCAAAATCAAAGATAACATCTCCGTTTGGAAAGGGAAACACATTTCGGCTAATTTTCCTTACAAGATTGAGTTCTTCGAGAAACTTGAAGGTCGCGGCGACGCTCCTGTGAAGTTCTTCGCACACCTCAAGGAAGATGAGTTTGAATATATTGATTGATTCATGATTTTTGGTTGAAAAACACCTATTCAATCTCCGATTTCATATTATTAATAGTATATCATATTTCATTAGCGTCTAGTTCTGGATTTTGATTCGCATGTCGCATTCATTTTTCATCAATTTTCGTTGGTATATAGAGCTTCATAATCTTCGCAAACAAATTGTGGTCATATATTAACTTCATAATTTACAGCATCTCTGTGATTCTTACATAATTTGATAGAGTTTACTTGATCCCCCGAATCCACCAGATTTACTCGGACAACCATCAACACTTTTATGTCGGTGATCGGGATCTCGGCATCTCGCCATTCAACTTGTCTCCGGTGAGAATCTATAGTTCTGAATTATGTATTCTCATATTTGATTCGCGTGTGTGGTTGTATCCCTCCCCCCTCTTTGCTCCTTCAAGAAGACTGTATCACGGAACAAGCAACCGCTTGTGCCCAGTGCCTCAACTTTGCCTTGACCTGCTGCGGATCTTCTCCTGCAAAATTCCATGAATTTGTTTATGGATTTTGGTGGTGGAGAATGGAGATGATTAATTTCAGAATTTCACAAACCTGGGCTACAAATCTTCCATGGATCTTCATTGCCGAACGACGTTGTTCCTGATTTTGACGACAGCGAGCCTATCCCGGCTAGTTTAGGTCCCGGTGAGACGTTACCGCCGTTAGGGCTGCCGAGCCTGTTGACGGCGAAGTAAATATCAAGGGCGGGTAGGGTGTTGGTCAACCGTTGACCGCCTTCATCATCATTGAACCCAAACCCTAACTCCAGGCAACCTTTGAGCTCTTTGAGATCTTCCGACAACTCATCAGTTGCTGCAGAGCCAGATTCATCTTTCTTCTTCTTCTTCTTTTCTTTTATGAGATTGAGACGGCGCCTCCTCTCCCAGGCAACATTCCGGGGGCTCTCGCTCAAGGATAGCTGTTTCAACAGGGCTCTCCGTTTCTTCCACAGCGGCGTTGGGCGTGGTGATGTGGCTTTGAGAGTCGGCAATGGCAATGGAACAATCATGGATTGATTGGTCTTGGGCTCACCCATTCTGGAGATGGATGTTGGGGGAGGGGGTCACGGTGGAGCAGCGGCGGGACGGCCGCCTGAACCAACCGTGACAGGTAGTGGTGGAGGAAGAAGTTGAATTATTTGTGTGATGGAGGGAAATGATAAAATATGGGATTGGTATTATGTTTGTAAACGAGTGTGAGAGAGTGAGAGTAGGAGGAGAGCCTTTTGTGCTTCTAATTTGGTTGTTTAAATCAGTGGGCATAATTTACCATCCTAAATCAATGGTTGATTGATCATTTATAAGTGCGATTCAAGATAGTATTTACTAAGTATTAAAATTAAAATTAGTGGCTTTTTCATTTGGGAACTTAAGGGTTATTGCTTCAGACATAGGTGGTGATAAGTAGGAATAAATTAGTTTCTTGTTTCAAATAAATAATAATAATAATAAAACATTTAAAAATATATATATTATAAAATCTGAAGCTAAATAATAAAGTAGGAAATGAGATTGTAAAGATTTTATGTTATTATTATTAAAAATGGTTATCGTTCCAATAATCTAACAATATTTAGTATATTGGTTTAAATTGTTTATAGTTATTTTTTTGTCTTTGAAGGATGCAAACTTTTGTTTTTAGGTTTTAAAAGGTCGTTATGGAAAATTTGAAGGGGTCGTTCGATGATTCTCATCCTAATCATCAGTTTGCATATGTCATGTACTCATGTTGGTGTGAGTTTTCCTCATCCTAATGGTCAACTTCCCTCAACACACATTGACTTTCAAAAGTCAAGGTAAATGAATGCGATTGAGAGTTGTGTTTTGTTGGAGTTGTCGGATGGAGACCCATCTGAGAATCGATTTGATTGAGATGAATGTGATTGAGAGTTGTGTTTTGTTAAGAATCTAACGAGTAAGTGAAGTAAACCGGATATAAAGAACAAAACGGCCAAAATCGCAACAATAAATAGAACAAGTGTGCTTATTTTTTTGAGAATACGAAGAAGGGATGATGTTTTATGGAAAGTTACAGTAAATGGAGGTGAAATCGATGATTATAAGTGAACCGGAACTACAATGGCAAACAATGAGTCGTCATCTACACGCATAGCCTTTGGAGAACCACCTCCTTCCACCACTACAGTCCTTTCCACCCCTTTCACCGAAAACGCACTTTACTCCTCCAAAACGCTATCGAGTTCATCGTCAAACCACAATTCAACAAATCCTTTGGTGTAACATTGTTTCAGGATTGGGAAGGTACACAAAGTGTGAAGAAGTAGTAAGATCCGTCTAGTTTCACGACGGCTTTGTCCTTGGCGAACGACCACTGGATTTCATCGCCGACACGAGCGAGAGAAGCGATGATGTTTTCGCCTTGTTGGAGACAGATTATTTCAAACACCTCAGAAGCTAATGGATGATTTGTTGTTTTTCGATTAAGTGAACGATTGATTCGTGGAATTTTATACAACTTATTCTGAAGATTCAAAAGCGATTGATTGTTATTGTTCATGGCTTTGATCGTTGTCCGGGAATAGTTTCTCAGCGAAATTGTTGGTCTCGAGTGATGGGTACATGGATGGAGCTGAAGGATTTGATGATAGAAATGAGAAATATGAATCTGGCTTTGATTGATCGACTTGTGGGTATAGATTTTTAGAGGAGTGTGACACCATGTTTGATTATAGTTGTTGCATGTTTTCAAGATTTTGAGGATCTTGTTGACTCACATGCTTACTTGGTACTTGACAAAGCAATTTTACTTTCTAATATGGGTAAAAATACCAAAATTACTGGTAAAATACAAGTTGATACCCTTTAAAGGCAAAAAACCATAATGAACCATTTAAACCATTATACTAATAATTGTTGAGCTACATTGACAATAACTAGGGGTCAGCATAACCAAATACCCGGCTAAATTTGAAAGAACTAGAATCGGCGGTTCCAAAGATTTTGGAGCCGGAACCTGTTGTATCGGTTCTCAATTTTTTAGAACCAGAACCGAAACCAACAATTCCGGTTCCAGCTCTAGATATCCGCTTTAGAAAAAGAAAAGTAGCCCAAAATAAAAGGTTACCACAATTAGTCCTTTCATACAAAAAAAGATGACTAAATGATTCCAAGTTCATGCTCCCATATTCTTTTATAGACAATTCTCTCTCACTGTTAACTTATGTAAGGAATCGATGTGGGATCTTTTGTTTCAAACCCACTCTTGATATATTTATTATAGGTGAAATGATGGGATGATAATAACCAATAAGAAAATGACAGTTTCGATTTAAGATTTCTATGGAAATAAATTTAAAAACCTAAAAAGACTAGCTTAACTAGGGGTGAGCAAAAACCGAACCGCAAACCAAAAAAACCGAAAAAACCGCATAAACCGAAACCGAAATAAAAACCGATGGTGCGGTTTTTAGTTTCGCAAAAACCGAAAATACTCGGTGCGGTGCAGTTTCTAGTCTCATAAAAACCGCAAAAAACCGAACCGCACGCATATATATATATAATATATATATATATTATATATATATATATATATTATATATATATATATATATATATATATATATTATATTAAGTGTTGATATTGGTAAGAACCAAGAACTTATGACAATTAAAATTTTTATAAATATAAATATCTATCTTATCTATCAGATGATGATTCTATATTTTTAAACATACAGTCAGTGATATTTACAATAACAAATAATGTTTATGATATTTTTTAACATTTAAATGTGAAAAGTACTAGTGATGATATTATCAGTTTTATGAATACATTAATATTATTGCATGTACATGTGAAACAAATATTATATTAAATTTGTATTATGTTCAACCATTAGAAACATGTTGGATGAATGGTTATGTAATTTGATTTCAAACCAAGAGGTAGTGGTATCGGTTCATCTCCAAAAAATGATTAGCACTCCTCATCTGAGTCAAAGTAACTCGTCCAGTTACTTGAGTTTTTAAAAAAAAAAAACTAACAAAAAACCGCAAAAAAAAAAAAACGAACCGCATAAAAACCGAACGGTGCGGTTTCTAAATTTCAAAAAGCCGAAGTTGCGGTTTTCAGTTCGGTTTTGGCCAAAAACCGCACCATGCTCACCCATAAGCTTAACACCATTTATGATTTGAAGGGAATCATAAATTGGTAAGTTATTAAAATTAAGGAAACAAAATAATTATTGATTACAACACAGTAGAAGAATTTTATATATAAAGTATGGGCTTTTATCATAAAAGCTCCCAAATTTACATAAAAAAACCGGTTATGTCCAAAATCGTTTTTTTTACCACAAATGCCTAACATTTGCCCCTCATGTTTCATTTCAATGTTTTTTACCGGTTCCCCTTAAACAACCGGTTACTTCCCCATTTGCAACCAGTAACATTTGCCCGTCTCCTCCGTTTGTCCTCCGTTAACACTCTCCACCCTCCCATTTTGGTGAAGCATTCTCATTGTCTGAAGCTAGGGCTTTTCAAGAGGTAAGAAATTACGGTTTGATCATGTTTTTTACGAGAAATCATCTCTATTAAGTCCTTACTTTTCATGATAATGGTTGCGATTGTGTAGGGGTTAGAAATGGGTTCTTCAGACGATGGTTACGACGACCCATTTGCTGGAATTTACGAGCCATTTTCTGGGCTAAATGAGATGGATTTTGAGTTGCACGGGATTTACATGGATCATGAACCACGACAGGAGTTTGTATCAAGGCTTGATAAATGTAAGGATCATTTTCTTAACATTCTACTTTGTGATGCGAACATTAGAAATGCAAGTATGACTGATGAGATGAAAGATCGAGTGGACCATGGTAATGATTTGCAAAATGATGAGGAGGCAGAGGAAGAAGTGACTAACAAATACAGAATACACGATCCAAATGTTAGGTGGGATATGATGGAACCTAAGTTAGGGGACGCGTTCGAATCACCTGCACAACTGAAATTCTGTGTGACAAACTATGCAGTAAATGGAGTGTACCAAATATACTTTCAGAAGAATGACAATAGAAGAATTGTTGCAAGATGTGGTAAGAGACATGAAGATAATAAATGCCCTTTTAGAATTTATGCAGCATGGATGTACAATGACAGAACCTTTCAGGTTAAAGCAATGAATTCTGAGCATCTTTGTTCTAGAGTGTTTAAATTTGGGTCTATTGTTAACCCGGAATGGATTGGAAGACACTATGTAACTGAGATAGAAAATAAGCCTAAAGTTAAACTTAGGGAGATGATCAGTGACATCAAACAAAGATATAGATGTGTGGTATCTATAGGACAGGTTAGAAGGGCAAAACAGTGGGCAAAAGAACTGATTGAGGGTAAATTAAATGAACACTATGCAAGAATTTGGGATTATGCCCAAGAATTATTGAGATCAAACCCTGGGTCTACATGCAAAGTTGGTGTTACTAACAATCCAGATGATAAGAATTATTTTAAAAGGTTTTGCATATGTTTCAAGGCTTTAAGTGTTTGCTGGAAAATACAGTGTAGGAAGGTAATAGGGTTGGATGGATGCTTCCTAAAGGGTCAGGTAAAAGGTGAATTACTCACAACCATAGGTAGAGATGCTAATAACCAAGTGTTCCCAATAGCTTGGGTTGTTGTTGATGTGGATAACAAGGATAATTGGACCTGGTTTCTGGAGCTTCTGAAGGATGATATTGACCTTGGTACTGGTGTAGATTTGGTTGTTATTTCTGATCAACATAAAGTAAGTTCCCTTATAATTATAGTATACTTCAATTTGATTATTTCAATATGGTTATAAATACTAAGATTGTAACACCCAAGGTCTTAAAGGCCATGAAAGGCGAGTCCAAGGAGGGACTCGGCGAGTCCGAGCGGGATCCGGGTCGAGGTGTAAGCGACCAACTTGGCGAGTCGGACAAGGTGACTTGGCGAGTCTGGTCTGTCCGTGGAAAACCCTAAATTCAGGACTTGGAGCCTATATAAATGTCTTAATCTTCTTCCTAGGGTTCCTTACTGCCTCTTTAGCCCTGGATATCAAACCCTAGCCGTCACATCTCCTAGTTGAGCCTTGGAAGGTGCATTAAATCTTGGAAAAGGAAGAAGGAACTTGGAGGATCAAGAAGGAGCTATAGATCTGGGATTGTGAGTTCATTCTGAGCACTTAGAGGTAATAAATTAGTTCTTGGACCCTTTTTGCACCTAGATCTATGTGTGGTTGTTGGGGCTCTTTAGCCATAATGTTATTATTTTGAGTTAGAAGTCGGATCTGGAGTTGCTACTTCAGATCCAAGTGTGTTATGGCCTGGAGAAGCATAAAGTATCAGCCATTAAGTCGATTTTGAAGCCCCTATGCCTTACACCCTAGTTTATGGCATATTTTGCCTAGATCTCCTTCTCTACACGTAAAGTTTGCAACTTTACGTTTGGAATAGGCTTGGGAAGGGTGGATCTATAGTTTGGAGTCCATGCATGACTCAAAAATCCTCTGCATGTAAGGAGACTGAAGGGACTCGGCGAGTCCTTTGAGTGGACTCGGCGAGTAGCATGAAGTTATGGAGAAACTCGACGAGTGGGATGAACAACTCGTCGAGTCGTATGAAGATTGCCTTGTACTCGGCGAGTCTGTTCTTGGACTCGGCGAGTCAGGTCGCGAAACCCCAAAACCCTTCGAGTTGTGACTCGAATCAGTGAGTCGGGTGGAGACTCAGTGAGTTGGATAGGTCTGGACTCAGAAATCGGTAGACTCGGCGAGTCATGGACTGACTCGGCGAGTCGAGTCGCGAATGGAAGGAATCTGATCATTTTGAACTCGGCGAGTCAGTAGGTGACTCGACGAGTAGGGTTGACCTGGAAGGTTGAATTAGACCAGGACTTTGACTTTGGACCAGGGTGGACTTGGTTGTCTTTTGGGGGTCAGTTAGACTCAGTGTTGCATTGATATTGGTAGTTCGGGGAGCAAGGGGAGCAGGAGTTCCGTGAGTTGTCAGGCAGCAACTAGTGAGATCATCAGCAAGTTCAGCCAGTGCAGGTGAGTTTCCCTTTGTGTGAATGGGTCTAAGGCCACAATGCCGGCCCATGTAGTTATGAGTAGAAGACCTGGGGGTTAGCCTTAGGCACAGTATGCTAGTATTATTTTCAGGACGAGGTCCAGTAATAGCGGGTGAGTGCCCAGGGAATTGTTCATATGATATTTATACTTGTTGTCTGTGTGATACATGTATGTGCCTGGTAGGGAGGTGAGTGTGGGCGAGGTCCCGTATCTCACCAATAGCAAAGTGTGGATGGGGTTCCATATCTCATTAGTAGCAGAATAAGGGCGAGGCCCGAACTAGAACCAGAATGAGAGTGGGCTAGGCCCATACCTCACTACCATTAGGAGCGTGGACGGGGTCCCATGACTCATCAGTAGCAGGACATGGGCGAGGCTTTAGGACAGAACCAGTTGCATGTGTTAGTTATGTGTTGTGAAATGATTATGTGTTATTATTTGTTGACGGGCGAGCCCCTGTGACAGGCGAGGCCTAAGTTAAACAGATCTGTATCCGAGCGGGGCTCGAAGCCAGGCGGGGCTTGGAGCGGCGGGGCCGTTGTAGCGAGCGAGGCCCGAGGTAGGGGCGAGGCCCAAGATAGGGGGCGTGGCCCAGTATGTGCAGTATGTGGTTATGCATGGTATGTGGTAGGGTGGGGAACTCACTAAGCTTTGTGCTTACGGTTTTCAGTTTTGGTTTCAGGTACTTCCGGTAGCGGAGGAAAGAGCTCGGGGTGATCGCATGGCACACACCATAGATTAGACAGCCTGGGAATGTTTACTCTGATAATGAACATGTGTTTTGAAAACTTATACTCATATTATGTTTTGGAATGATGACTTTACTTTAAGTAATGATTTATTAAAAGAAATTTTTGGTCTTAAATTTTGGGTCGTTACAAGTTGGTATCAGAGCCTTGGTTTGAGGGATTCGGACATGCTCTCAGGGTGTGTCTGAACTCAAACTGAGGAATTGGTAAGGAAGTTTTCAAAATGAAAAGACAGTTTTGTAAAAAGAGTTTTAAGAAACGAAAAGGTTTTAGAAAAGTAAAAAGAATTCAGAAAGAAAAGAACTTTGAAAAGAGAAAAGAGGTGTGGTGCATGCAATCAACCGAGCTCAAGTAAGTACCCCAAAATACCCATACAAGTTTATGTTTTGATTATCAGTTAATAGAACAGCATGCTAGATTAGGACTGAGGATCTAGGGAGGATGCCTTATGTTCCTGTTATATGTGCTTTTGATCTGCATGATAGTGTTGAATAGTCAGTAGTAGGATAGTCTGATTAGGTTATGCCTGAGTTTATGAGTTGTGTTGCATGCTAGTTCAGATTCTTGCTATGTGGATATGATTGCTTGAGTATGTTATGGTTAGATTTTCCCTTGTCTGAATGCTGCTTGCTTTGTGCATTGTGGGATTCTAAGTGATGAGAGTTAGCCATTAGGTGGATACGTCACGTCACATGTGATCAGGGTTGAATAATCTCAGAGTGTTGGATTTGGTCCTATTGCGCAGCTCTTGTTTGAGTCCAACCGTTGTAGGAACGAGTCCTTTACTTGAAGGATTATCTGAGCCTCATCACATGTGATGGTATCTAGATGATGGCTAATTGGCATTGCGAGGAGGCCTTCAGCAATTGAGGACTGGTTTGAGTTGAGTCAAAGGTTTCCCTAGGGTAAGCCTAGGATGAGGTAGTGCTGGGAGCAGTAGAAGTAGAAAAGGGACCTGGTGGAGTCAAAGCAGTTCCTGAGGAAAGTACGGATAGATGTGGAAGGTAGTATGGGCCCGTACTACTGAAAGCAGAGGATCCGTACTCGATTCGGGAAAGGCCGAGACAAGACCGGGAACCTGGTAGTGAGTATGATTGGTCTCGCAGCAGTGAGGAGTATTCTGATAAATGGTTATGGTGTATGTTTCAGTATGGTGACATTGCAAGAGGGACCAGCGGGCGGATCAGGCGCCGGAGAGGGATTAGGCTCGGGTTTAAGGGCCGAGCAGCTCGAGGAGCGGATGACAGAGTTGATATCAGCGGAGGTTACGCGCAGTATTCTAGCTCAGACTCCTGTGATCTTTGACACGGTCAAGGAGGGTATATTGGAGATTTTGGATGAGAGGCTGGGAGCCTTCCGTACTGAGATGATGGCTTTGTTGGGAGTGCGTACCTTGACATTTCGGGAGTTCAGGGCTTGCGGGGCACCAGATTATCATGGGGCTAGGGACCCCATCGCTAGCAGCAGATGGTTGGCTGATGTTGCCAACGCATTCTGTACGAGCCGGTGTCCTGAGGAGGACAAGGTCAGACTCGCTTCCTGTCTTCTGAAGGACAGAGCGAGGGATTGTGTGACATCCCCAAAATCACGGCCAGAAAAGACCGATTTTGTTTATGCTTTATGAAAATCAGAGTACTTCATTTTATAAAAAGGTTGCGGAATTTGTTCCCAGAAAAACACGATAAATACGTTATTAAAACATTTTCGAAGAAACGTATTTTTATTAATCTTAAAACGTTTGGGATGTCATCGTTAATACAGAAACATAAGCATAAACAGAACTTACAATTATTTACACTAGTGATCTACATCTCTTTAAATCTCTCAGTGTAATGTCACTTCATATCGCCACCTGTGATGTAAATAAACTGAGTGGGTCAGGTTGGGAAACCTGGTGAGTACATAGGGTTTTCAACCCACAATAATATAATTGTTATGTTCAATCAGCAAACAATTAACCCAATTACCCATCCCCGTTGTCTTCTTTACTCTTAAGGATTTAACCTAAGGGTCGTCTATCCTGCATTCGTTTATTCCGAAGTCCCTTACTTCCAGGTTTATAGGACTGACACTAAATCCATAGCTGCCGATGTTCGTTCGTAAAGCACTAATTCCATAGCTGCTATATCTTACTCATCGGGTACTAAATCCATAGCTACCAACGCTCAACAGGTACTAAATCCATAGCTACCAATTCCTACAGGTACTAAATCCATAGCTACCAGTGTCTAACTAATAGGTACTAAGTCCATAGCTACCAACTCCTAACAGGTACTAAATCCATAGCTACCAACGTCTGACAGGTACTAAGTCCATAGCTACCGGTGTTTGTCCCATAGGCACTAAGTCTATAGCTGCCAATGTATACTCATGTCATCCTCTATCTCTCATCATTTATCTACCCATCATCATACCCAACATATTTGTATATATAAAATACGTATACAGTTTAAATCCTTTAAAACATGTATAAAACGTTCATCCAGCATAGACAACAAGTATTCAGATAATATGCACACATAGCACGTAGTTTATATAAAATACTTCATATCTATGTGTAAGATGAAAGGGACTATGCACTCACAACACGTAAATTATATAATAAATACTTCAAATCTATGTGTAAGATGAAAGGGACTATGCACTCACAACACGTAAATTATATAATAAATACTTCATATCTATGTGTAAGATGAAAGGGACCATGCACTCACAACAAGTAAATTATATAATAAATACTTCATATCTATGTGTAAGATGAAAGGGACCATGCACTCACTTGATAGGTGGTGACTCAACACTCGGACAGCGCTTCGATACTCTCAACACAATTTCCTTCGATAAAACCTAGTATCAATACCACTAGGGTTTAGTCTAACGATAACCGCGACAAACTAATAGTCTGACTATTATTATTATTATATAAGCGTTAAATAACACTCAATATAACTCATAATAATAGCCCAAATACTCATTATAAGTTCCTAATAATGTTACTAT